GTCCCGGCGAGACCTATTTTTTAAAAAAATATTTTTATGCCGAAACCGGTTTGGCTCAGTGGATAGAGCGTTGGCCTGCGGACTGAAGGGTCCCGGGTTCGATTCTGGTCAAGAGCATGTACCTTGGTTGAGGGCACATCCCCAGTAGGGGGTGTGCAAGAGGCAGCTGGTCGATGATTCTCTTTCATCGATGTTTCTAACTCTCTATCCCTCTCTCTTCCTCTCTGTAAAAAATCAATAAAATATATATTTTATATATATATATTTATTGATTGATTGATTTATTGATTGATTTCAAAGAGGAAGGGAGAGGGAGAGAGATAGAAACATCAATGGTTAGAGAGAATCATTGATTGGCTGCCTCCTGCACATCCCCCAATGGGGATCGAGCCTGCAACCTGGGCATGTGTCCTTGACCCTTCAGTCCACAGGCTGACGTTCTACCCACTGAGCCAAACCAACTAGGCTGGACGTTATCTTTTAATTGTTACTTTATTGTGCCATTGAGAGTGAGGAATCCTTTACCTTGGATTCCTAATCCCCATGCGGCGGGGCTTCCGTATAAATCAGAGCTGCGGTAGAAATAGAGGGGGAGGGACATGATGTTTATCTAACAGCTACTCCGTGACCACGTGTCTGCACATTTTCATGACCATCCTACACGCCAGGTGTCATGTAGCAGTTGAAATAACCGAGGCATATATAAGTTAATAAACTAGCCAAAGAAAAAAAGAGAAACTTGCCAAAGGTTATAAAGTTTAGTCTCAATGCAAAAACATACACCTTACTTTTCTGCATAGAAGTTACCTTTCTGCATAGAACTTACTAGGTCAGTAGTTCTCAAACTTCCAGGGCTCTGGAGTCACCTGGAGGCCTTGTCATCCCCCCCCCCCCCCCCCACTCGCCCTGTGGAGTTTCCGTTCACTGGTTCTGGGTGGAGCTCAAGGATTGGCCTTCCCCATGTTGTGGTGCCAATGCTGGAGACGCACCGGATGCCTGACCATATCTGAGAGCGATGAAGACCCCAGAGCCAGGTGGGCAGTGCATTGTCACCTGGTCATCCTTGCAGAGCAGCAGCACTTGGCATCTGTCCAAGAAGGCTGAGTGACAAAGGGAACACAGCAGTCACTTTGTGAAGTCTGTGACTGTCTAAATGCGATGCTGTCCATCCGACCAGTACAAGCTAATTTTGAATCAACTGTAACTGAAAGGGAATACATTTTTTTTTAAGGCAGAAAGTAGTTAGAAAGGCAATACAGAGAACTGAAATGCTTCAGAGACATGCTGAGGTGTAAGAACATATTTTCTGCTGGGAAATGTGATGAGAAATTAAAGAATTAGTCACGGTGTGAAGCACCTTGGGGGAGAACTTTCAGGCAACATGTAATGTTCCTTGTCTAGCTGGGAACTCCAGCTAGAGAGAAGTGGGCCGGTGGGGACTGTCATCAGCTGTGTCTCTGCCTTGGCTGCAGCCGCAGCTGCACACTCATGCTGACTTCATCTCTGTGTGAACAAGGCCAGCACTTGATCAGGCTGAAATCCACACCTATAGAATAGATGATCACAGATAGCGACAATTTTCTGTTCGAACTCTGGATTTAATTGAAAACCTTCCCCTCCTGCCTTCCCCGCTTAGTGGGAGGGGGAGGAGGACAGAACACAGAATCACTTAGTTCAGAACCCGCATTGTAATTGCTCCGGTCGGCTCAGACGTGACTTGAACATCTTGAGCCCTGGGATTCAGCGGCCAGGCTCCTGGGAGAGGATGACACAGCACAGGGAATGGCAGGCTGCCTGCCTTGCCTTAGAGAGAAAGATGGGAAAGTCCTTGCAGAGGTCACCAGCGCTGGGATGCGCTTAGTAATTTAAATAGACGTGGGCAGCTTCTGTGTGGGGAAGCCAGCCCCAGGGACAGGAAGGAGCCAACATGCGGCACAGGAAAACACGGAGTGCAGAGGGCAGCTGGAAGTGCAGGTGTAGGAGGCCTTGCCTTTATACAGACAGTTTTGTTCTATGTATTTTAACTCATGCACCAAGGACAGGTATTACATTAAACGGTGCAGAGACGGGTAATGAGTTAGCTTAGTTAAGGAGTTGGTTCACTAGTTCGCAGATAGTTACTTAGAATGCCAGGAAAACAGAAGCAGCGGCATCAGTATGATCTAAGGCAGCGGTCGCCAACCTTTCAGACCCCTCAGACCACCGGTTGGCGACCGCTGATCTAGGGAACATCTTTCCCTCCACGGAGGTGAAGGGGACTGGACTCTACTTCTCACCTCTCCCACGTTTGTTTGTTCCTTCCTTCCTTCCTTCATTCCTGTGACATGTATCTGATGGTCCCTGCTTGCCCCTCATTGTGCTCAGTGGCCCTTGGGACTCTACAAGTGATACTTGGTGTCTCTTCATTCATTCAGGAAATTTTCACTAAGGTCCTACTTTGTGTCAGAAGGTGCTGAGGATGTAGTGATGAAACACAAACAAACAGAAAGCAAGAAATGTATCAGCCTGTTGAAGCCACATAAAACTAACAAAAGCAAAAGGCTGACACAAGCGCTGTGACAAAGTGTGATGGCTAGAGGGAGGGGAGTGTGGAAAGCAAGCACGTACAATGTGAACCAGAGAATCTGGGTGGTACTTACTGTAAAGTCTTCCAGCTCTGTTTGAGAATTTACGAGATAAAATGTTGTGGGGAAAGTGGTAGGAATGATAAGGAAGGTGGGAATTTGGGCAAAGTTCACGGAGGACATGACATTGTTTTATCCAGCTCTTCTTCCTCTCAGCTACTTAATATCCCCTTAGCTGTGGGTCAGTCAAGTTCAAAATCCCCACAGGCCCAATGCTGGACTTCAAACACCTTGAAGATGGTCCGATCTCTAGTGGAGGAAAGACGGGGGAAGAAGCTGACTCACAAATGAGCACAAACGCACTCACTCACACCCACTTGGGAAGGCACCCCCTTTTAGCTAACGTCAAATATGGGAAGAGCATTTACGTTTTCTAATATCTTGATTTTCTTTAGTATTTTTCCCCCCAACATGTTCCTGAATTTAAGGAAATGTACTGTTTTAAAAGAGGATGCTTAAATCCTCTTAGATTGTAGGACCCTATCAGCTCATTGATTGGATCCCAGAATCACAGGGGCAGAGGCTGGAAATTACTTGTATAGGCCAGTGGTCGGCAAACTCATTAGTCAACAGAGCGGCAATAGCCACATGTGGCTCAAGAGCCGCAGTTTGCTGACCACTGGTCTAGGCTGTCCCTGCAGCCCCAGCAGAAGTTCCCTTTCCAGTTTGTGGGGAGAAAAAAGCCACATGCTGACCTGACAGCTCAGGGGAGGCCTGCGTGGTGGTTTTGCAAATGCAGACCTAAAATCACCACAAAGGATGGTCTGCAATTAAACTTTAACTAAAGCAGTGATGGTGGGTAGTTACATCGTAGGCATTGAAAAGGTCAACCTTTACTTTAACGGACCCTATGTGTCTTTTTGCACCTGTGATAACATATCCTTGAAATGTCTGGGTAGCTTGTAACTTCCCTTTTTCCAGACCTCTCCAGGCACAACCCAATGTGCTGGGCATCAGGACAGAGACCTCAAGTTCCTTCATTGTCACTGTTATCATGTTAACTAGAGGGAGGCCCAGCACACAATTTCGTGCAGGGGTTGGGGCCGTCTGGCTCACCCCATGGGGCCCAATTGGGCTGGGCCCGTGAGGGGGAGGGCCCACCAGAGGTTGGGGCCACAGTGCGCATCATAGGCACTGGTTGTTCTGGCCGCTGGGCTTTTATATATATATATATAGATTGTAGACTGTTAACTATCCTAAACCCATCTAAGTATGTGTTTATCATTTTACTTTTTATCCAATCCCAGGGGTTTCCCCCATTTGCTTTCTCCTGCCTTTCTAATCTATAAAACAGATGAAAAAGAATTGCCATTTTCTGGAACATTATCTCATTTCATTGAGGTTCTGCTTCCTGGCTCAAATAAACTCACAAAAATTCCTTACATGTTCGGATGTTTCTATGTTAACAAGTTTCAGCCTTTTTCTCTTCACACACTTAAAATATGGTTCAGAGTGGGCGGTTGCCAACCTTTTGGACCTCATGGACCACCAGTGGTCTGTGGACCACCTGTTGGCGACCGCTGGAGACTGTGCCAGTTACTATTGTCAGAACTTCAAATAGCAACTCATTTACAGCTCACCGCAGTCCTGGGATGTGCCTGCCATCATTGGTTCCATCATCATTGGTCCCATTTAGCAGGTCACTGAGGCTGGAGACGGACTGCTCCGAAATGCAGAAATGGGGCTCTGGGGGTGCAGAAGGCCGCGAATCCAAGGCCGACACTGCCTTTCTCGCCCGGAGGCTGGTCTCTGGAAAACAGTTCATTAAAGCTATTAATCGTCCACAGGGCGTGTACACACTAACCCCGACTCCGCAGGATCCTCGGGTTTCAAACTGATTTGAGAGGGGCTGGGTTAGGAGGGAGCGCGCCCCTCACATCACCCCTTCCCCACGGCGTCCGGAGGGAGGATGGTGTCGGGGTTTCCAGGAGGAGATGCTTCACACCGGGACTGACATTACTTTGGCCAGCGTGAGGGGAGAATTCTAATATTGGGAAAGCGCGTGGTCAGCCTGGGTGAAGGACGTTAACTCTGTTTCATCTCCATCTCTCAGGCTTGTTCCCATTTTGCTCCTCAGCCCGGGGCACTCCCTGCAGGCCCTGCCCGCCCTCTCAGCCTTTCATCCTCACGGAGGCGGCGGCGTCTCTAATTAAAGCCAAGGTCGCGGGGGAAGGGTTAACGCCGGGCGGGACGGCGGCCGCTCGCACCCTCCCCGCGGGCGGCGGCCGAGGGCGGGGCTGGGCGGGGCGGAGGGCGGGGCCGGCCCGGACGCCGCCGCCGCCGGCGAATGGGCGCGCGCCGCCCGCCGGATTGGAGCGCCTCCCGCCGCCCCGGGATGTAAGGGCCGCGTGCGCACAGCGCGCTCCTCCGGGACCGCGGCCTCACCGGACCGGGCGGCAGGCGGCGGCGGCTCCGGGCGAAGGCGGCTCCGGGGCGGCGGGAGCGGGCGCGGCGGGCCGGCAGGAGCGAGGGCGGTGCGGCCGCGCGCACAGGCGGCGGAGGAGGGCGGCGCGAGCCATGGCCGGGGACAGCGAGCAGAGCCTGCAGGACCAGCAGCCCGGCGGCGGCGAGCCCTTCCTCATCGGCGTCAGCGGCGGCACGGCCAGCGGCAAGGTACGTGCCCCGCTCTCCTCCGGGCCGGCGGGCGCCGGGGCAGCGGCCGCGGCCGGGGCAGCTGCAGCCGCCGCGTGGCCCGCGCGCCTGGCCGCTGGCGGCGCTCCAGCGCGGACTCGGGGCGCGGCGGGGCGGGGCGGGGCGGCGGGCGGGGGCCGGGCGGTCGGAGGCTCGGGGTGCCGGCCACCCCGCGGGGTCCTTTCCCGGCGCGGCTCGCTCGTGGCCGGGTCCTGCGGGGGAGGGGCGGCGGCGGCGGATGCTCATTGTTGTGCGGGTTGGCTCGCTGCTGGGGAGAGGGCTCCGAGGAGGGTCCCCCACGCGCCCCCGGGCACCCCTCTCCTGGCCCCGCGGGGACGCGCCCCGCCGCGCAGCCGGGGCCGGAGGCGGAGCGATCGGGACCGCCCGGAGGGACCGGAGGCTGCGAGCGCGGGGCGCGTCCGGGAGGGAGCCCGCGCGGGCCGGGGTGGCGGGCTCTCCGGGTGAAGCCGGAGCCACAGGATGCGGTGGCACCGGTGGGATGAGAGCAGACGGGACTCCCTTTGTGGCTGCGGAGGAAACGTGGCGGCTCCTCGGGGAAGTTCATGGGCGCCGCGCTCCGGTGCCCGCGGCGTGCGCGCCGGGACCCCCGGATCGGGGAGCCCCTCCCGCGGCGCCGGGCCCTCGGAGCCGCTTCCTTTGTGCGCCCCGCGGGAGGGACCGGGGATGCCGGCCCCGGCCCCGGCCTCGGCCCCGGCCGCTCTGCAGGTGGGCGAGGCGGCGTCCTCCCAGATGGTTCTTTCTTTCCGCCCGAACTGCCCGGAAGGCGGCGGCTGCTCCCACGCCGTCCAGCGCCCGTCCAGCCCGGCCGGAGCGGCTCCCCGGGCGCAGCAGCTGGGAGCGCCGGCGCCATGCGGAGCCACCACGCGGCTGTCGTCCCGGAGCCACCGGCCGGGCCCCTCCATTTTGGTTCCACGTTTTCCCTCCGGTCGGGGCGGTGGCGCTCGGGCCTCTGGCCTGGCCGGGGGGCTTCCTGGCCGGGGCAGTGGTCTGGTCCCCAGCGCCGGGGCTGGGCATCTGCGCGCTGGGGGAGGGGAGGTGTCTCTCTGAAGCAGATGCTGCGTTTGCCCCAGGCTGAGAGCATTTAAGGAACATTTCCCCTTCCTTACAGTGTAGTCCTCTTCCCGGTAACTCACAGCCACACAGGGCTCCCACTCCCTCAGGAAGCCTGATCTGTTTCTTAGAACTGTTTTTCCAGAGCCCATTCCTGTTCCTGGGACCCTTTCTCCGGTCCTTCTTGGGCGGGTTCCCGGGGTGCCCAGCCCGGGGCTGGCCCTGCCATTGGGACTGGTTGCTACCCTGAGGCCAGTCCCCCCGGGGAGGGGGCTGCAGCAGGCAGGGGTGCAGCTTTTAGAAGCAAAATGACCTTGGTGATCCTCTGAATAATTCAGTTACTACAGCGGTGGAAACAGGTCCTAGGACTTGAAATGACTCCATTCTCCTGTGTTTCTCGGTGGTCACTGTTTCAGTTGATCTAAGTAGGCAAACTGTCACGTGGGGGGAGCCGATAGCCGTTGGGGGGCGGTGGTTACCCGCTGCCCCTAATTCCAGTCAAGGAAGACAATTGTAGAAACTCTCCGAAAGGGTCTGTTTCATGCCGTTTTCAAAGCCTGTTTACATTTTTTGGCATTGATAAGTACCTTGTCATTGTTTGGTAATTTTTTTTTTTTAAGTCCAAAGTAGCACTGGACTTCTCAGATTCCATATTGTAGCCCCCATGTTGTAGATATACTTTGATTACAGTCCTTACTGCCTTTCCTTCAATGAATTCCAATTTTCTATTTTAAAAAAATCCTCACCCAAAGATCTTTTTTCCATTGATTTTTAGAGAGTGGGGGAGAGAGGGAAAGACAGAGAGAAACATCTGTGTGAGGGAAACACACATCCATGGGCTGGTTGCACAGCCTGCAACCAAGCTCCCGCGCCCCTTTCCGGAATTGAATCTAGGACCCTTCCGTCTGCAGAAGGGTCCACTGAGCCAAACCCGCTAAGGATCAGTTTTTTCTTCATTAACAGTCTTGGCCAACATCAACAAACTGGACCATTTTTAGAAGTTTCCGGCCTGAGCATTGTCGTCCTGGGGGGTCTGCAAGCAAGGTTGGTAGTCCACCCCCTGGATATTTTGTTACAGCTGAGCCTGTTAAAGGAATTTGGGAGAAGAAGAGGGCCTAAGAGCATCATCAGAAATGACAACTTGAGCCCTAACAGGTTTGTCTCAGTGGATAGAGTGTCTGCCTGTGTACTTAAGGGTCCTGGGTTCGAATCCAGTCAACGACACGTACCTGGGTTGCAGGCTCAATCTCCAGTAGGGTGCATGCAGGAGGCAATGGTTCTCATCATTGATGTTTCTATTTCTCCCTCTCCCTTCCTCTCTGAAATCAATAAAAATATTTAAAAAGATAACTTGAGCCCTGGCTGGGTAGATCAGTTGGTTAGAGCATGGTGTCCAAAGGGCGAAGGTTGTGAGTTTGATCCCTGGTTAGGGCACATACACGAATCAAACAATTCTTCTCAAACAAGATGGGGCAGCAGGGGCCAGCAGCACCGGCGCCCTGGCATAAATGAGTGGAACAAAAAAATCAGTGTGTTTTCCCCTCTCACTTCCTTTCTCTAAAATCAATGTTTAAAAATGTGGCTCAGGGATTGAGCATCGACCTGTGAACCAGGAGGTCACAGTATGATTCCCAGTCAGGGCACATCGAGTTGCAGGCTCGATCCCCAGTAGGGGTTGTGCAGGAAGCATCCAGGGATTCTCTCTCATCGCTGTTTCTCTCTCTCCCTTTCTCTCTAAAATAAATAAAAATGTATTTAAAAATATATATTCATTGATTTTTGTACAGAGAGGAAGAGAGAGGTATAGAGAGTTAGAAACATCAATGAGAGAGAATCATCGATCATCTGCCTCTTGTACACCCCCTACTGGGGATGTGCCCACAACCAAGGTACATGCCCTTGACCAGAATTGGACACGGGACCTTTCAGCCAATGTCCTATCCACTGAGCCAAACCGGTTTTGGCCTAAAAATGTATTTTTAAAATGTCACCTTGAGAGGTGGAAGGCAGCTCAGAGCCTTGGGAGCCCAGGACTTAGTTGATCACTTGGAGATGGAAACAATGTGCTCAGGGCGGTGTCTGGTGGCCCAGCCAGGGCGCCCGGTGCTCCTGGCCACACTGCCCCATCTTGTTTGAGAAGAATTGGCTCCGGCTTCTGGAGAGGCTGCAGGCTGGTTTCCGAGGTTGGCTGGACTGGAAGTGGGAATGTGGAAATGCAACTGTTCTCCCTCCTCCCCCCATAAGAAAACCAACTCCCTGGCCTTCTCTCTAGGGCTCTTAATGTGTCTCAGTATTGTGGCTGCCCTGGGCACGGGTGTTTTATCTCAGACTACGTTATTTTGGAGAAGGCAAAAATACTGAGTGCCGCTCCACAGATCACACTTCCTAGTTTGCTTAGTGAATGAAGTAGTAGAACTTTCGAGAAAGCGTTGCCAGGCTGACTTGGCCCATCACTGGGAATCGCATGTTAAAATTGAGGGCTGAGCAAGTCATTCTGATCCATGTGAAAAATCAGACTCTTGTACCTCTCCCTGACAGAGAGGTCTGGAGAGAGAGCAAGAAGTAACATTGGGAGAGAAAAAAATAAATAAAAATTAGTTTAAATCAGATTTCTTTGCCTGTATCTCCTCTTCTGTTTATTTTTAAAAAATATATATATTTTATTGATTTTTCACAGAGAGGAAGGGAGAGGGATAGAGAGTTAGAAGCATCGATGAAAGAGAAACACTGATCAGCTGCTTCCTGCACACCCCCCACTGGGGATGTGCCCACAACCAGGGTACATGCCCTTGACCGGAATCGAACCTGGGACCTTTCAGTCTGCAGGCTGATGCTCTATCCACTGGTTTCGGCTCTCCTGTTCATTTTTAAAAATATATATTTTTATTGATTTCAGAGAGGGAGAGGGCGATAGAAACATTAGTGACTAGAGAGAATTACTGATTGGCTGCCTCCTGCATGCCCCCTACCGGGGATCAAGTCTGCAACCTGGGCAAGTGCCCTTTACCGTAATCGAACCCGGGACCCTTCAGTCCACAGGCCGAGCTTTATCCATGGAGCAAACCTGCTAAGGCCTTCCTGTTCATCATCTTTGCTGCCGTTGCCCTGGTGACTTTACGGTCTGGCCAGCATGGTCCACCGAGGGTCTTCCTGGGCTCAGGTCTGGCTGTCACCAGGCTTCCTGGAAACCTTTATGGCTCCCCTTGGCCTGGACTCCAGAGCAAACCAGGACAGCATATGTCCCCTGGCCCCACTGTGGCCCCAGACTTTGTTTTCCCACCCTCCGCCTCCCCTCGCCCAGCAGCACACAGGCACGGGGAGTGCCCCGGCTCTGGCTCATAGACCCCTCTGGAAGGGCTCCGGCACCTGCCAGCCTCATGCTGCGAACACTTCCTCTGGGGAACTTTGTCATCTCCTTCACAGAACCATCTTTTGTGTAATGCCTCCATAGATTCCCCCCATTGTGCCTTTTCCTAAAGGGACTTGCTAAACTGGCAGAAAGTTCTAGTTTGGCGCAGTGGATAGAGCATCAGCCTGTGGACTGAAGGGTCCCAGGTTCGAGTCCAGGCATATGCCAGGTGGCAGCCGATCAACGATTCTCATCGATGTTTCTCTCTCTCTTTCCCTCCCCCTTCCTCTCTGAAATCAATAAAAATATATTAAAGAAAGTAAGTTCTGAATGCCCTGCGTATGCCTCATGGCCCCTCAGAGTATTTGTTGAACTGCGTTAGGCAGGTCATAATTTATAGTTACCTTTTTTAAAAAAAAAAAAATTCATAAGATTATTTGAATTAGGATTTCAAGCCACAGATGGGACCTTATTCACATTGCAATGGCTCAAAAGTGGAAGCTCCTGAGCCCTGGCTGGGTTTGCTCAGTGGTTAGAGTGTGGGGCCCTCAGACTGAAAGGT